TACTGGGAAATAATCTCCCTCTTTCCTACATATTCTAACCTGCACCTCAGTATCCTCGTAAAAATTCTTCACTGCTTTCAGTAACCTATTTATGTTTATTTATTCTACTGTGGAGTGTATTTATCATCTTAATATGTTATGTATCATGTTTATTATATACAGTGGACCCTCGGCCAACGCTGGCATCGTCTAACATTAAATCTGACTAGCGATACATACACCTGCAACATCTGCCACATTGCCCCCCTACCCACCCTGTTATACGCCTTTTCCAGATCCATAAATGCCACAAAGACCTCTTTAGCCTTATCTAAATACTGTTCACTTATATGTTTCACTGTAAACACTTGGTCTACACACCCCCTACCCTTCCTAAAGCCTCCTTGTTCATCTGCTATCCTACTCTCCGTCTTACTCTTAATTCTTTCAATAATAACTCTAACATACACTTTACCAGGTATACTCAACAGACTTATCCCCCGATAATTTTTGCGCTCTCTTTTGTCCCCTTTGCCTTTATGCAAAGGAACTATGCATGCTCTCTGCGAATCCCTAGGTACCTTACCCTCTCCCATACATTTATTAAATAATAACACCAACCACTCCAAAACTATATCCCAATCTGCTTTCAACATTTCTATCTTTATCCCGTCAATCCCAGCTGCCTTACCTCCTTTCATTCTACTCACTGCCTCACGAACTTCCCCCACACTCACAACTGGCTCTTCCTCACTCCTGCAAGATGTTATTCCTCTTCTTTTTCTTATTTTCAATAAATTTGTTGATATCTCACCTACTCTCTCATTTGCTCTCTTTTTACATTGCTTCACCACTCCCTTAACCTCTCTTTTTCTCTCCATATACTCTTCCCTCCTTGCATCACTTCTACCTTGTAAAAACCTCTTATATGCTAACTTTTTCTCCGTTACTACTCTCTTTACATCATTTCACCAATTGCTCTTCTTCCCTCCCACACCCACTTTCCTGTAACCACAAACTTCTGCTGAACACTCTAACACTACACTTTTAAACCTACCCCATACCTCTTCGACCCCATTGCCTATACTCTTAGTATCCCATCTATCCTCCAAAAGTTGTTTATAACTTACCCTAACTGCCCCCTCTTTTAGTTTATAAACCTTCACCTCTCCCCTAATTGATGCTTCTAGTTTCCTTGTATCCCATCTACCTTTTACTCTCACTGTAGCTACAACTAAAAAGTGATCTGATACATTTGTGGCCCTTCTATAAATATGTACTTCCTGAAGTCTACTCAACAGTCTTTTATCTACCAATACACAATCCAACAAACTACTGTCATTACGCCCTACATCATATATTGTATGCTTATTTATCCTCTTTTTCTTAAAATATGTACTAGAAATATATATATTTATTATATATATATATATTATATATATATATATAATATATATATATACATTTTATGTATATGTCGTGCCGAATATGTAAAACTGGTCAATTAGCAAGAACTCATTTAAAATTAAGTCCTTTCTGAAATTTTCTCTTATACGTTTAAAGATATATTTTTTTCATTAATGTTAAATGTAAAATTTTTAATTTTGCACCAAAAGAATCTTAGAAAACTTACCTAACCTTATTATAACAAGAACAATTTATTTTAGCCTAACCCAACCAAATATTTTTTTAGATTTGTTTACAATTAATTTAATTTTAAAAAACAAACACGGTGAATATATGTTTTTCGTTGGGTTCAGAATGATTTTGGCGAAATTATTGCATACACAAATTTTTCGCTTGTCCTATATGGCAAGATGAACGTTGCTATTTAAGCCAAGATCGCAAGTTCTGCCTATTCGGCACGACAAAATATATATATATATATATATATAATATATATATATATATATATATATATATATATAATATATGTAGGATGGGGTCCACCTCTGGTGTAAATTGTGGGACCCATAGCCTCTGAGAAATGGATAAAAGGCTTAAAGGAAAAATATTGGGATTTCTTCCTGAAGCCGTTTGAATATTCCACTTCCCTACCACCCCATCTTTTCATTTTTTTTTTTTTTTTTTTTACTAAAAAGGAATATTTTATTACATAATATGATACAGAAGATCCAAGAGATACATATTGATATAAAGGTGGCACATACGGTACATGTTGTTACGTGTGTATCACCGATTACAAGGCGAAAATCTCATCCAAATCCTCAGAGCTGGGACGTGTGCCCAAAATACAGCAGGCATTACCCCTTTGAACAGCCGCACTGAGCCGCTGGAACAGAAAACTAGCTGCCGTAGGATCCCTAGTTACCCTGATGAGTCTTTTTCCCCAGCTCCTTAAGGAATTTAGATACACTCTTTCCCCATGAGCCAAGGGTCTCTGAGCCTATGGGAACAAACATATAATGGGCAAGTTCTCATATTTTCTAGACTTTTGGGACTCCTGAAGCTGGCAGCTGCCCCTCCTTCCTCCCTGGTGTATTGGAGATAGGTATCAGCCAAGATAGATGCACATGTATAGTCCCACACCACCTGCTTCCATCTGTCCAGGCTTGAAGGGTGATACCATCTGGACGCTTCTGGCTGCCATCAGATCTGCATAGTTGGGGTGGCTCCCTTACTGCTGGGCATCCAGCTGTTGTGAGGCTCCTCTTGATAATGTTATTAACCTCCTCATTCTTGCAATCTTTCCCTCGGATTTACGGCACACAAGACCATGGTACCCGAATCGGTCTGCTGCTTCACTGCCACAAATACACCTGTGTTCGGCGAGAATAGGGGCGGCAAGTCGAAGGGCAACACCGATGCGGATGGTCTGTGGTCGAGACGTGTGCCAAGGCTGGAGTTGGGAACAGCCAACAGAAAGTCCCCAGCATGAGGGGCTCTCACTGCCAGGAGGCGGGCTCTATCCTTCCCTGACACACTCTGAAGCATTGTTGAGGCAATATTTTCCACTATTGGACCATACCAGTATGTATATATATATAATATATATATATATATATATATATATATATATATATATATATATATATATATATATATTTATATATATATATATATATATATATATATATATATATATATATATATATATATAAAACACTGTGACAAGACAAGGACTCGAACCCATGTCGTTTTGACCTGCCTCATGGTAAGCGAAAAATCATATAATGCTATAACCCACATGACCACCAAATCCTACAAGAATCATGAACCCAGCAAAGGCAGGTGTTTTACCATGACTTGAGGACCTGCGATGGTGTGGGTGCCTCGGAGCTAATTTCATTCTACTCCCCGTTTGGTGTACTAGCCGCAACGAGCGGTGTATATATTATTGTAACCATGGACGAGTTGTATATAATTAATAACTACACTGTGACTAGCAGAGGACTCAAACCCATGACTTTTTGGCCTGCCTCGTGGTGAGCGAAAATCACATGATACTCTAACCCAGAGGACGAGCAAATCCCAGAAGAATCGCATATCACAGTATTTTCATCTCCTAGGATCAAGAGATTTGGACAGGTACATACATCCACCTATGTTGTACAAGACAAAACTCTAACTCCTTAGATCAGGAAATCACTCCAGATGCTTGATTGCAGAGTTACTAGTATGTCATACTAGACAATTTCTCCAACATCTTGGATCAAGGCCTCCCGGACAGGCCCCCATTTGTTAAAAAAAGGTAATATCTATTAAGTATAGATATCTCCAGAGAATACTAGAAGGTCTCCCAGTCTACCATCCAGCCTGTTTTTTTTTTTTTTTGTTTTTTTTTAACAAGTAGTAAGTGTTCTGTTCCAGTTACCCTTTAAAATTATGATAATTTTAATAGTGCTTTAGGATTGGAACTGATAGATAATAACTAACGAAATAAAAATTGAGAATTTTATTAACAAAGTTGTTCATTATGACTCAATAAGACTAGACTCGACTCGAATTAAACAGTGACTGACTAAACGTCGTCAAATAATCTATCTTCTTGACCAGCAAGGCATCAAAACAGCTTACTTGAACAATATGATGAATGAATCGCCAAACAACAATAATGTAACAAGCAGGAGCACAGCGTCAGGAACAAGGAGACAAAAAAGACCCTAACTTGGGACTGTCAGCAGATCCTCCATAAGTCATAAAACTACTTTAATACTGAACCTAATTTCAGCATAACCAAATCCCCGACTACGACACTGCATGGATGCCATACAGAATAGGCCAGAAGCTGTAGCTTGGGACCTGGGTTGATTTAGAGTGTCAGTACGATACACAACCTCAGTAAATCGTCAAAAATCACTAAGTCTGAACTAAGCTCTGTTAACAGAGTTACACAGAGTTACAAGAAGTATGTTTCGACTCACCAGCAAAACCATACTCTACCATAACAGAGTCTAAATAATTAACAAGCAGCCAGAGATGAGAGAGATCCCTGGAGAGATGGAGAGAAACTTGCTGGTCGAATGATAACCAGCTGAGGAGAGAGCAATGAAGGGAGGACAGTCTCCAAACTCAAGTGAATTCACATGATTCTCCCATGGTACTCCAGCACGGAGCCGACAGGTAAACAAGCGAGGTGATAGTTAGCTAAGCAGTTTGCAATGTGGACAGCCAATCACAACTCTTGAACAGTGAGCACAGTGAAGTGTAAATGTTACAACCTACCTAATGGCATAACTAAGTCAAATAATAATATAAAGCAAGATATTTTCATTTTAGCTAATAATGAAAATATCAGCAACATAAAATTATATGAAAGACAATATACACGAAATATATAATATGTACATTATAAACATTGGGCCCCATTAAGGAGATGCAATATACTCAACTTGAAATTTATCAGGAGTTAGTCTACGTTGTTTTTCCACTAAACTGAGTTTCTGATTTTTTTTCGGTATGTGGTATATCCTTGTGGGTCATTCATCTCCCGTCCATTGCTCTCACGGGTCGTTAAGGTAAGGCTAGGGAAAGGCTCGATTCTCCTTGTCGAAACTCACCTCTGGTATCCGGTATAACATCCGGATCCTTCTCGTCGACGTCAACACAATCACGGCTTTTGTCGTCCTTCTTGTGTATGTGGGAGTCGTCGTGATTGAGCCGGCCCTGGGTTGTCTCCCTCCATGGTTGTCGCACCACCATCATCACAATGATCACTATCAACACCACTAGCGTGCCACCCACTACACCCAGGACGATCATTAACGTAGGGTAAAGCTCCATGCTGGAGGGCTCCTCGCTGCCGCCTGCCGTCACGCCTAAGCAAGGAGAGAAAATAGCGTGAGGATGTTGTAAGTGTAAAAAATTGGCTGTTAGGATCACACAGACGTTAAAGAAGAGACATTAAGATCTGCAGGTGTGTAAGAAGAGGTGTGAATACCGTGCAGGTGTTAAATAAGAGGTGAGAGGGCCATGCTCGTGTGAGGATCTCACGATCGAACTGTTTACAAGGGTTCACAACGAATGCGAGAAGCTCTTAGCTATCCATAATCTCTTCAGTAAATCACTGCAAACGAGTATCGTTCCAAATAAGCTGAAAACATTACATGTGATTCCCATTTAGTTTTGAGGTGGTCAGTCTGTCAGCCTGAAGATGTGTTCAACCTATCTAAAGTTGAAGGATGAGAATGGAGCCTTTTATAGTGTCAGAGCTGAGGAGTGGAAAATAGAAAAGATGTCACATAAAGTGCAGGCCCAATAGTAAAAATAAAAACTGAGGAACGCCACAGCAAGTCAACTGATGAATGGTAGGCAAGGCCTAAAATACAATTCTTCTCACTCACATTTAATGGTCAGTGTAAAGGAAAAAAGAGTAGATAATGTACATTTCGTGTGAATGTAGTCAGGCTGGGTGTTTTCTTGCCATCTAGTGAGGGAATACTCTTTCATATTTTATATTTCGTTACCTGCCATTAGTATTTGTTCGCAGGCGTTTCTCTTCTGTTTTTCTCACTTACTGTCTTCAGGGTACGAGGCTTTTGTCTCATAACTTCATATATGTATTATTCATTGGAATTGTGGTATTCTTGTGTTTTGAAGAATCCAGGTAGACTTTCTTGCTTTGTTAAGTGTTGTCTTATGTCTTGGCTTTCAGTTTTATGTATTTGAATCTTTCGTTTTCTCCCGTGCAAAACTCAGACATTTACAAGGCAATAATGTCGTTCCCGTCTGACTCTGCTGGGAGCTACACTGGTATATGGTCACAGCATTTAACGGAAATGGTTAATCCAGTTAACGGGGAGATTGCAGAGACACTGCTTTCAGACATCACAAAGTTCGTCAACAATTCCTTGGCTGGTCTGATTCCTGACGAAATTAAGCCTTTCTTTTTTGGTGCATCACTTTGTGCCTGTAAAAAACAAGGATGGAGTAATTAGGCCAGTTGCAGTGGCAACACTTTTCGCTGCTTCGTTTCCAAAGCTGCTGTCCGAAGTATTAGCACAGAGGCAGCCATGATGCTTCAACCAAATCAACTTGGCTTTGGTGTCTCTCAAGGAAGTGAAGCAGAGGTTCATGCAACAAGAGCGTATATCAACAATCTGCCTGAGGACAGTGCAGTGGTACAATTGAATTTCAAGAATGCATTAATCACCTGAAAAGAGACGGGGTATTAACAGCTGTATAAGAACATTTTCCTGGTCTCTTTTCTTTTGTTTCAGCTGGATATAGCAAGGAATCATTGCTCCTGTTTGGAGAGCATGAAATCACATCATCAGAGGGTGTCCAGCAAGGGGATCCTCTTGCACTATTTCTCTTCTGTATAGCACTTAGGGAAATCGCAGTCAAACTGACCAGTGAGCTGAATATCTGGTTCTTGGATGATGGCACACTAGCAGGTACAAAGGAGTCCCTTTTAGATGATCTTACACAGATGATGACACAACGGCAGGAAATGGGTCTCATACTGACTCCATCCAAATGTGAAATCATCTCAGTCAGTCAGCAAGTGATCAATGCAGTGAGATTCAAACTACCAGGAGCATTAGTCATTGCCCCCACAAATAGCGTCTTGCTTGGAGCACCTCTGGGAAGCGATGCAATTGACAATTCTCATGAAGAAACTGGAAGAACTGAGGAGAATGGAACAATGAACAGGCAATCTTGACACCCACGATATGCACCTTCACATGATAACCCTATATTGCACGAATATGACAGTATCCTGAGGCAGATTTTTACGAAAGTGCTTAACCTTATTGAAGAAGACTGACAGTAAGACCAAGCTACACTTCCAGTCAGACTAGGAGGCACTGGTGTCCGCAAGTCATCACAGATTGCGCTACCTGTTTTCCTGTCCTCATGTGATGCATCCAGTGGACTTGTAGCAGTGATTCTTTCTGAACATCTTAGGGACAAGATTGGAGTCCAGGACCAAAAGTTCGTTGATGGAGCCATGATTTAATGAGTTCTGAAACTAGACCTGCACACCCCAACAACTAAAAACAGTTACACTGGGAGGGCCCAGTGGTGAACATAGCCTCAGGAATGCTTCAATGTGTGTCGGGGAGAGATAGGGTCCACCTCCTGGCAGTGAGAGCTCCTCATGCAGGGAACTTTCTGTTGGCTGTTCCCAACTCCAGCCTTGGCACAAGCCTCTACCCACAGACCATCCGCATTGGTGTTGCCCTTCGACTTGCCGCCCCTATTCTCTCCGAACACAAGTGTATTTGTGGCAGTGAAACAGCAGACCGATTCTGGTACCATGGTCTTGTGTGCCGTAAATCCAAGGGAAAGATTGCAAGACATGAAGAGGTTAATAACATTATCAAGAGGAGCCTCACAACAGCTGGATGCCTAGCAATAAGAGAGCCACCCTAACTATGCAGATCTGATGGCAACCAAAAACGTACAGATGGTATCACCCTTCAAGCCTGAAAGACGGCAAGCAGATGGTGTGGGACCATATATGTACATTTCCCTTTTCTGATACCTATCTCCAATACACCAGGGAGGAAGGAGGGGCAGCTGCCAGCTTCAGAGCATCACAAAAGTCTAGAAAATACGGAGAACTTGTCCATCATTATATGTTTGTTCCCATAGGCTCGAAGACCCTTGGATCATGGGGAAAGAGTACATCTAAGTTCCAGGGCAGCTAGTTTTCTGTTCCAGCGACTCAGCGCTGCTGTTCAACGGGTAATGCCTGTTGTATTTTGGGCACGCACCCCAGCTCTGAGGAGCTGGATGAGATTTTCTCATTATAATCAGTGACAAACACGTAACCATATGAACTAGACATGTATCTTTCACACTTCATATACTGTATATGCCATCTTCATATAAAAAATGTGTCTCTTAAATCTTTTGTACCATATTATGTAATGAAATATACCTATTGTTAAAAAAGAATGAAAAGATGGGGTGGCAGGGGAAGTGGAATATTCAAACGGCTTCAGGAAGACATCCAATATTCTTCCCTGAAGCCTTTTATCGACTTCTACGAGGCTATGGGTCCCATAATTTGCACCAGAGTGGACCTAATTCCATATACATATATATATATATATATATATATATATATATATATAATATATATATATATATATATATATATAATATATATATATAATATATATATTATATATATATATATATATATATATATATATTATATATATATATATATATATATATATATATATATATATATATATATATATATATGCAAAACAACCACTCTGAAAGAATAGAGAAATTCCAAGCGCTTTCGTGACTACTCGCATTATCAAGGTAATGATAATGTGATAATGTGAGTAGTCACGAAAGCGCTTGGAATTTCTCTATTCTTTCAAAGTGGTTGTTTTGCATATTTGAAATCACCTGTTTACTGTGATCTTATTGCATATATATATATATATATATATAATATATATATATATATATATTAATATATATATATATATATATATTATATATATATATATATATATAACACTGATCTCTGGCTGAAGGAGACTCGAACATACGAACCCTAGGACAAGGTACGCAGTGCTTTACCAATCTACCCACACTGGACAATACCTTGGGGTGTAGCATGCGCTACACGTTTGATCCAAGGCAGCCAGCTTTCAAGGAGAAGGCTTACAGCTTTTCATCTCGTCCCCTGCATGCATCAGACCTACTAGAGATTTTAACAATGCAAGGAATTCGCGAGAGCAGGCGAAATATACACAAACACTGATCTCTGGCTAAAGGAGACTCGAACCTACGAACCTTAGGACAAGGTACGCAGTGCTTTACCAATCTACCCACACTGGACAATACCTTGGCGTGTAGCTTGCGCTACACGTTTGATCCAAGGCAGCCAGCTTTCAGGGAGAAGGCTTACAGCATTTCATCTCGTCCCCTGCATGCATCAGCCTTACTAGAGATTTTAACAATGCAAGGAATTCGCGAGAGCAGGCGAAATATACACAAACACTGATCTCTGGCTGAAGGAGACTCGAACCTACGAACCTTAGGACAAGGTACGCAGTGCTTTACCAATCTACCCACACTGGACAATACCTTGGCGTATAGCTTGCGCTACACGTTTGATCCAAGGTAGCCAGCTTTCAGGGAGAAGGCTTACAGCTTTTCATCTCGTCCCCTGCATGCATCAGCCTTACTAGAGATTTTAACAATGCAAGGAATTCGCGAGAGCAGGCGAAATATGCACAAACACTGATCTCTGTTTGTGTATATTTCTCAGTGTTTGTGTATATTTCGCTTGCTCTCGCGAATTCCTTGCATTGTTAAAATCTCTAGTAAGGCTGATGCATGTACGGGACAAGATGAAAAGCTGTAAGCCTTCTCCCTGAAAGCTGGCTGCCTTGGATCAAACGTGTAGCGCAAGCTACACGCCAAGGTATTGTCCAGTGTGGGTAGATTGGTAAAGCACTGCGTACCTTGTCCTAAGGTTCGTAGGTTCGAGTCTCCTTCAGCCAGAGATCAGTGTTTGTGTATATTTCGCCTGCTCTTGCGAATTCCTTGCATATATATATATATATATATATATATATATATATATATATATATATATATATATTGTGTGTGTGTGTGTGTGTGTGTGAAAGCACGCAAAGGTAATAATGAAGAGTGTTAATATAAATCTATTGCAGAAGATAAATAAATGTATACATATGTATGAATTTTCATATGTATGCATGTAAGTATTTATGCTTTAGCATATGTATGCAAATGCTTTTGTATGTGTCTTTGCATATGTAAGCAAAACGAATGTACACTTTTTTGCATGTATGTACGTACATATGTATATTTGAGCATATGTATGAGGATAATGTGTGCATTTTGTAAATATCTCCTGTGTGTTTTTTTTTTTTTTTTGTGTGTATATTTTCAATCACGGTATTGTGCCTTTGTGTTCTTTTAGTTACACTTTTGTTTATATACGAATGAATATATATATATGTGTATGTATATGTGTATGTATATGCTTTCATATGTATGAACCCCTATGTGTAAGAATATGTATTTATTGATGCATTCATATGTATATACCTGTACATACTTGTGTGAATATATAAAAAATAATTACTTAAAAAATAACCAGTTTTGCAAACTCAGTAATGTAAAAAAATAAATTGAATTAATATAACATAATTGTTGTAGATTATAGATACAATAATATCTCTTGAAAGATTAGAATGAATTACTCAAAAAATAGACGTAGTTTAGTTTTTATTAATAGCACATTGCCCGTCTCCCACCCATGCAGGGTGGCTCGAAAAAGAAGAAATACTTTCATCAACCTTCACTCCATCACTGTCTTGCCAGAGGCGCTTCTACACTACAGTTATAAAACTGCAACATTAACACACCTCCCTCAGAGTGCACACTGTACTTCCAACCTTCATGACTCAAGTCCGGCTTGCTGGTTCCTCTGAATCCCTTCATAAATATCACCCTGTTTACACTCCAACAGCACATCAAATCTTAAAAAACATTTGTCTCCACTCATATTTTCACGAATTATTTAATTTTCCAGTTTAATGCTTAAATTTCAATAAAGATACCCAAGAGTTGCACATGTGTCTAATTTATCAACATGTCGGTTCTCTGAACCATTCATCTACATGTATTTTTTATTTTATTATCACACTGGCCGATTCCCACCAAGGCAGGGTGGCCCGAAAAAGAAAAACTTTCACCATCATTCACTCCATCACTGTCTTGCCAGAAGGGTGCTTTACACTACAGTTTTTAAACTGCAACATTAACACCCCTCCTTCAGAGTGCAGGCACTGTACTTCCCATCTCCAGGACTCAAGTCCGGCCTGCCGGTTTCCCTGAACCCCTTCATAAATGTTACTTTGCTCACACTCCAACAGCACGTCAAGTATTAAAAACCATTTGTCTCCATTCTCTCCTATCAAACACGCTCACGCATACCTGCTGGAAGTCCAAGCCCCTCGCACACAAAACCTCCTTTACCCCCTCCCTCCAACCTTTCTAGGCCGACCCCTATCCTCCACACTGTCTTGAGTCTTTCCACTACAGCTGATACACTCTAACACCTTCCTCGTTCTGTCAACTTCTTCTACATTCCGAACCAACCTCACGAACCCTTCCTCGCCCTCATACAACTTTGGCTAC